CTAGACTGTAGCATTCTTTTATTTGGCTTCCCTAAATGTTTTAAACTTATTTTTAGATACTTTAGAAAAAATTCAAAAATATATAGAATCAGCGTAAAAAGGGGAATGCTCCTTTGATATTCTCTCCTCCAATTCCACTCTTTTGCCACAAAACAGTGCTAACATTTTGGTGAGTAACGTCCCAGACCACCTTCTATTCATTTATGAACATATACCTTTACACACTGGATCAGTCAGCTCTTTTCAGCAGCAGGTGTCTAAAAATCCAACTCTATCTAAGTAAAATAGAGAATTCATTACAGTGGAAAAGTCTGATGGAATGCTAGCTTCAGGTGAGGCTTCATCTACGGGCACAATGGACTTCATCTCTGGTTTTCTTTCTCTCTCCTGGCTGAATCGGTAGATTCTAGGCAATGCCAAGATGACTGCTGGAAGTTCCACACTTCCATCCTTCCAGACACAAGCCCAACACAAGAGCATGTCACTCTCTCAAAAGTAGAACATGAGTCGGGAACCAGCAGTTAGGATAATGGCTATGTCGCTGGACTCCCACATAGTTGACCGCGGTTCACATCCTGGACCCAGTGGCTTAAAACAACGGACGCGTGTGCGTGCGTGCCCAAGATCCCGAGAGGAGAATGGAGAAGGGATTGTGGCGTGACCATTCCCCCGGGGGTGATTTCCCGCTTTCTGTCTCTATGTCTGTCTCTGTCTGTCCGTCTGGCGAGCGCACGCGCCCTATAGCGAAAACCTCTCCAAAAAAAAAAGTAGAACATGAGTCTTGGCCCAAATTTCCTAAAGTATCGTTCCCTGTACCTAGGCCTAGATACATTTCTCTCAATGATGAGGCCTGAGGCGCTAGAGACAGAGGCACATCAACACATCAAACGTGAACTCAGAGTAGGGGATAGGATGGTTCCCTAGAAGAGTATCAGAGCACTATTATTATCAGATGAGTGAATGGAGAAATAAACACAAAGCCACACATTTATATGAGGCTGTTTCTGTTTATTCTGAATAGAATATAGAAACTTCAGCAATTCGACTTATCTCACTTCTATACTTTTATGCCAATGCAAATAGATCTTACTCAGCCTTTCCAATGCCTGTGGAGTATTTCACAGTATGAATATATTATGGCTTATTTAACTTTAAATATTTTTCAATGTTTTTCTATTATGAAAATTGGTACGGTAAATATCTTTGCATGCAAAACTTTATGTACACACGTATGTCCAAAGGACAGTTGGACATACATTTGTTTTCACCTCAAATACAGGCTCTAAAGTCCTGAAAATTCATTATACTTCCAACAAAATAGCACATCTACACTGAAGATACAATCCAAGAGCTGCTAGAAGGCTGGTTAGTTTCCCCATCTGTTTTTCACATCTCTCTAACACAAAGACGACATGTTTTACAATTACAATGATGTCATAGCTGGGTATGGGTTTAACCTTTCACTGTGTAAGAGGTACCCTAGGTTTAAATGTATCTTGAGTCACAAACTATACTGAGAACTCTGAGCAAGATAAAGTACCAAACTATGGGGATGAGCAGATAGCGTGGTGGGTAAGCTGCTGGACACTCCCACATGGCTGATCATGGTTCTAGTCCTGGATCTGGTGGCTTGCTTTCTCTCTGTTTCTCTCTGGCCAAATTAAAATAAATAAATTAAATAAATAAATCTTTAAAAAAAAAAAAAAAAAGTACTGAACTATGTAAGCAAACACTCTAACAACTCTTCTGCTTCATTACCTTAATAAAATTTCAAAACTGGATTTTCAGTGACAATCTCAACAAAGATAATTATTCTCTCCAAGTAAGCCACCATCTAATCTGACAAGCCCATTTAAAGGGAGTCAACTAAACTACTGACTCTTATCTACCTCTTTAATGAGGTCATCTTTGAAACAGGAAACCAGAATAGGATGTTTGTCAAAAAGGCAACACAAGGTGAGGTGCCTTTGAAGGGTTTTGGGGATCCTAAAAAAAGGAGGGCTTCTTTTTTTTTTTTCTTCTTTTTTTGGAGAGTTTTCTGCTATAGGGCGCGTGCGCTCACCAGCCAGAGAGAGAGAGACAGAGAGACAGAAAGCGAGAAATCACCAAGGGGGGATGGCCACGCCTCAATCCCATCTCCTCCATTCTCCTCTCGGGATCTTGGGCACGCACACACATGCGCCCGGACTCGAACCGCGGTCGACTATGTGTGAGTCCAGCAACGTAGTCATTACACTAACTGCTGGTCCCAAAAAAGGAGGCCTTCTAAAAGTAAATGAGAACTATTAGAGAGCAAGAACAGAAAACTGAAAAGGATATCTGACTATTATCCCTAAACCAAGATTGGGCTTAAAGATGATTCCAGAATGACTAGCAAAACAGAGTACTTCTCTTTCTATCAGAAGGAACAAGACACTAATTACCAACAAGGGAAGCCACTATAATGCAAAAATGAAGGTTTAATCCATTACTTCACTGAGATTCTTCTGTGAAACAATAACAAGAGCTGAATTAAAAAACAGTATTGCTAAATCATCTAATTTGCATTCCATGACCAGGACATGAGTTGGGAAGGAATATCTGAAGGGGTAGGAAACTGAACTGTCTCAATCTCAAGTAATCCTAATATGCCCCAGACAAAATGGTTGCGAAATAAGGCAAAAGAGAGCTCTGGCTCCTTCCCTCCCTTGTAATGGCTTGCCGAAGCTTGAACATATGATTATAAAAAGATCATTAAGGACCAGTCACAGAAGAGCAGTGGTGATGCACTGCTCCATGACATGGGCACATATGAAAAACCAGGGTTCAGTTCCTTGGGTCAACCTACACGTCACGCACACACGTGTGCCCATGCTGGCTGGCTGGGAAGGCTCGGATAAGGACTATACCATTAGACTGTGTTAAGGATGCTTATCTTTCCCCTATGAGATTAATAAATAAAATACATTAAAAAAAAAACTTCAGATGCCTCTTAGGTAGAAACCCTTAGTGGGACCAGCAGATGGCATAATAGTTATGTTGCTGGACTCCCACGTAGTGGACTATGCTTTGAATCCCAGATCCAGTTCTTAAAATACACTAGGCATTTGTGTGTGTGACCCCAAAATCCCAAGAGGAGAATGAAGGAGAAGGGATTGTGGCATGCCATCCTCTCTGAGAGGTGATTTCTCACTTTCTGTCTCTCTGTCTCTGTCTCTCAGACACACATGCCCTAGCAAAAATCTCTCTTAAAAAAGAGAAAGAGAAAAAAAGAAACCCTTTTAGTATCAACATTGCGTTTGTCTGCTTCACACTTGACATTTCACCACACTACTCTTGGGTTTTCATATCAGCTCTCACTAACTCTGGTTTCAAACACGAGCTTCAAAAGCTTCACTGGGAAAGTTTTGCTGGACAAAGAAATAAAAACTGCAAAAAGACAATGATAAAAGATCACCTACCTAAGAAAATGCTTAACTTTTACCTAAGTTTGACAACTATTATATAACTGATGTTGAATGTCATTTAAAAAACTTTTTTATTAGGATTGTTTATTCAATTTTATTTATTCATTCATTCATTTTAATTTGACCAGAGACACCGAGAGAAAGAGGGAAAGTGGGAAAGTGAGAAAGCAAGCCACCAGGTCTAGGACTTGAACCGTGGTCAGCCATGTGGGAGTGTCCAGTGCTTTAACCACCACAGCACCTACTGGTCCCCAAATGTCAATTTTATATTTAATGTATGGCACATACAATCCAGTAATAAGAGAGTTTGTATACTTTAGTTTTGGGTTTGTTATTTGCCCTCAAATTTTAGATTTGTGGGACCAGCAGTTAGCGTAATGACTATGTTGCTGGACTCCCTCATAGTCCACCGTGGTTCAAGTCCCGGACCCGGTGGCTTAAACTGACGCCGGGCGTGTGCGTGCATGCCCAAGATCCCAAGAGGAGAACGGAAGAGAAGGGATTGCGGCGTGGCCATCCCCCCTAAGGGGTGATTTCTCGCTTTCTATCTCTCTGTCCCTCTCTGTCTGTCTGGCGAGCGCACGTGCCCTATAGCAAAAACCTCTCAAAAGAAATTTTTTTTTAATTTGCATGTAGAATCTATCTTCAACTATATTCAACCTGTAGCATGTGGAAGCAAAGTTGATAGATATAAACTATACCATGTCCATACCTATGGACAAAAAACCTATTACATGTTGTGAACACCTCAGATAATACAAATAAAGAGAAACTGTATTAGAATTTTAACCCTCCAACTTACAGCTAATGCTCTTTTTTACTACAGTATAATCTCCACCCTGCCAATAAAGATAAATAGTTTCAACTATGCTATTTCAATTACTGCCTTCTACATATGTATCACTGCCTTCTAAGACTTGGCCATAATCACATGAAGTCTTGGCAAATAACACAATTTGGGGCAGACCTCATAGCTCAGTGGTGAAGTACTATGCACTGGAAGCCAGATCTCACATGGCCAGTCACAGTTGAACTGCCAGCCCTGGTGGCTTGAAAAGCATGTCAAGGGCATGTGTGTGTATTCCTAAAATCCTGACTGGAAGGAGAAATGAGAGAAAAGGGATGGCATCATGACCACACCCCACTGAGGGGTTCTGTCTGTCTGTCTCTTCTCTCTCTCTCTGTCACAAGCACACATGCTCTCTGGCAATTTAAAAATAAAATAAGTAATACATCTTGTAAAAGTATTAAAATAATCTGTAGTAGTCTATATATCAAGATGGCAACTTAAAGTCATTTGGTTCCTCTCTCTTCCACTGTTCACTGAATCCACCAAAAACTATAATAAAGAAAATCCTTCAAAATGGCTAGAACTAGAAAAACATTTCACACACATACTGCATCATATTCAACATGAAATGATCTAGGAAGAAAAGAATGACAACAAATCCTGACCCACTGCTAGGCACCATTTCTAAAGAGGGAAATCCGCTGAGGATATTCATGCAACTAAATGAAGTCACATAATTCTGCCCACTCCTCCCCTAAACATACCTTGGGAGAGAAAAATGAGGCTTGGATGGAAGATCACGTAGAGCCCTTTGGATGACAGAAGGCTCAGGCTGAGGTATGAGGAGACAGGGAATGAATCCAGAGCTCCGAGTTGGGTCCGGAGGCCAGACAGAGTAGGGGGTTGCTAGCACCAGCTGTCGGAAGAGATTTAAGGAGGAAATCATTTCTGAACAAACATGAAAAATTGTACACCCGTGACTACCTTCCTCTGCTTATGAGTTCTATTTTTTCCCCATACAAGTAAATTAATGCCTCTACACTGTCAGGAAAAAATGTTAACTCTCAACTTTCTCCTATTCTTCTAACTAAAAAAACTGAGAAAATGGTTTATTCTCTAAGAATTCGTCTCAACTAAAAATGCCATAAAAAAATAAAGACAGAAATATCGCTGGATGCAGTTCACAAAAGGAAAATAATCTGAACCCTCAGAGAACCCTCACCTCTATTCTCAAATCCAGCAGTGAAAAGCATCCCTACAATAAGAATTACTGCAGTAAAAAAGAAAAATCTCTTTTTAAAAAATCAAGTAATTGTCACTCTCAGTAAGACTTTAGGTATGGCGCTGTCAGAAAAGTCATGACATATTTTCTCTATGCAAAAATGCATTATGACTTTTCTGACAACCCAAAAATATTACAAAAGCAAGAGCATACTATCATGAAAGAAAGGACAAAGCAATAGAGAAAAAAATGATGATTTGAAAACAAGAGAAAAAAATGCACTGACTTTTTTAAAGAACAAGTCTCGGGTGACATCAGAAGCTGGAGAAATGAGAAGGGTGGGAGATGGGGTGCACTCAGTTAACAGACGGAGGGCACAGGTAAGTAAGTGGACTGAGTTAGAGTATGCTACAGCATAGTAAAGAAACTTGGTGACAACTCAAGATGTATTTCAAACTAACCAGAAGAGCAGATTTCAAATGTGCACAAGGTGAAGTAGTAACAAATACTAGGTGGACCAGCTGGTGGCGTCGTAGTTAAGGCAGCAGAATTTCACATAGCCAACTGCATGATTCGAGTTCTGGACCCAGAGGCGTAAAAAATAAGCCAGGTATGTGTGCATACGTGCCCAAAATCTGGAAAGGACGAAGAAATGGAGAAGAAGGGATTGTGGCAAGATCATTTCCCTTGCAGCATGCTTTCTCACCTTCACTCTCTCTCTCCCTCCACATCCCCAGCAAGCGCACATACCCTCAGGCAAAATTTTTAAACGTCGGAGATGGTGGATATGTTTATTGCCTTGATCATTACACATACATATATATA